GGGGGAGGGTGAGTCTTAGGGACAGTCCTGCAGCCTCTGATCCTGCAGAGGGTCATGTGGGAAAGGGGGGAGCAGACCATACAGGAAGCTTGACTGATCACTTCCTTAAAATGCAAGAGGAAGAGGCGGGTGGGCCTGAAGCCGCACTGATCACTTCAGCTTTGCTGTCCCCCGCCCCCGTCCCTGCTGGCTGTGGGTCCCCCCTGCTGGAGCCCCTCTGCTTCCCCTCCTCACCCTGTTCTCATCGATGGCTCTCAAGCTTTTCCCCTCAGATTCACCTTGGGGGCTTGTTCAAGCATGACTTGTGGGGTATCCCCCAGGGTTTCCCTATTGGTTGTGGGCTGGGACGTCACATCGAGAGCTGCAGTCTAGACTTCTGCAGGGAGGTACCATCTACTTCCTTCCACTGGAGTCCTGCTGGGGACAGAGGGTGACAGTGGACTGAGTACCAACCTTCTGGCTTGTCTTGTTACCTTGACATGTATGTTTGTGTGTGTACACATAGAAAAGTTGCCCTCTGAGTACCAGTCTCCTGTTCTCCTTGCCCCCGTTGCTCTGTGTCTGGGAAGGTCTTGGCTGAGGGCATGTGCTCTGCCCCCTTCGGAGATGCTTGTGTTGGGGGAAAGGAATGGACCTACACCCCACAAAAGGCTACCTCCTTCTGCTGTGCTGTCAGAGTGGGCACAGGGGCCCTTGAGTGGGTGTTGACAGCCCAGGTCCTTGAGACAGTGGTGAAAATGCTTGTGAGACCCACAGACCGCGTCAGCTGACGTCCTGTCTGGCCAGATCTCCAGTGGTGAACACTGTCAAGCGCAGTGTCACTCTGGAATTTTGAAAATGTGTCTGTTAGCAGTCTTTAGCAAACCACCACCGGATCAGCACCCAGCCAGTCACCCCATATGTGGCCTGCTCCCCTCCCTCCCCCATGCTTGTTTAAATGAAGTCAGCCCTGGGGGTTCTGGAAGGTTCCAGTGCTCTTTGTGTGTGTGTGTGTGCGTGTGTGTGTGTGTGTGTGTGTGTGTGTGTTGTGTGTGTGTGTGTGTGTGTGTGTTCCTGTGCCTGGCTAGTCCTTGGGACACAGGTTTAACTGGATGCCTGCTGCTTGCTCTTCAAAGAGTCAATGGTCTGGTGAGAAGGCTCAATTGATAAAGGTGATTGCCGTACAAGTCTGATAAACTAAATTCCATCCTCAGAACCTGTGTAAGGTGAAAGGAGAGAACCGATTCCACAGAATTGTCCTCTGACCTCCACATACATGTTGCGGCACACACGTGCCGACACAAATACAAATAATTAAATAAATATTAAATAAAAGAAGCTGGGCGTAGTGGTGCATGCCTTTAACTCCAGCCCTTGGGAGGTAGAGGCAGGTGAATCTCTGAGGTTTAGTCCAGCCTAGTCTACATATCAGATTCCAGGCCAGCCAGGGCTACTGGGGGACCCTGCCTCAAAAACAAACAAAACAAAAACCCAAAAATTAGGTGCTATGGTGGGAACAGTGCCACCCAGGGTAAATAAGGACACATAAAGGGGACAAGGGGACCTTGAAAGAATAACCAGCACAGAGGACCACCTTGGGAAAAGCCGTGTGACAGAGAAGCAGCCCAGTGCCCAGCAAGGGAATTGCTGAGGAGGGAGATGGGCTGGGAAAGCTGCCCCCGGTAAGGCTCTGCTTGGCTGAGCAGAGGGTCAAATCAGGGGCCCCAGTGATTGCCCCCCCCACCAGGCATTGGCATGGATGGGCTGAGAGGAGGGTCAGGGTTAATTCTGGGGCCCCAGTGACTGACACAGAGAGCCATTATGGAGGGGCAGGCTGGGTCCCTGATGGAGTCACTGGGCCCGTGCCCACACTGACACTGTGGAACCAGGACACAGTCACTATGGAGATGGACTCTAGCATTGTTTTGTGTGAAGCCCAGTAAGGAGGCTCTTGGAATGGGTGCCTGCCTCCCCCGCAGGCCAAGGCAGCAATTTAATGAAACACTTCAATGCTGGTTATTGGACCAGACTGACTGCTCAAAACAAGGCCCAGACAGCCCCTAGAATGCTGGGAAATGCTGTCGGCTACCCTACTTCTCCTCCTGTGTGTCTACACCAGACATGGTCTGTGTCTAGGCAACTTAAGAAGCTCCAGTCTTGGGGAATCCTAGGTCAGTCTGGACTCTACAGCAAGACCCTGTCTCAAGAAAGGAAAAAAGCAAAGTAAAAGAAAATCAAAGTTTTTTTTAGATTTATTTTAGGGACCAGAGAGATGGCTCAGCAGTTAAGAGCACTGGCTGCTCGTGCAGAGGACCTGGGTTTGTTTCTAGCACCCATGTTGGGCAGCTCACAACCACCTGTAACTCCAGCTCCAGGGATCCAACGCTCTCCTCTGGTCTCTGTAGAAGTCCACACTCACACATAATTAAAGAATAAAATAAACTTCTTTAAGATTTATTTTATGCCGGGTGTGGTGGCGCACACCTTTAGTCCCAGCACTTGAGAGGCAGAGGCAAGCAGATCTCTGTGAGTTCAAGGCCAGCCTGTCTACATAGCAAATCCAGGTCAGCTGGGGCTACAGGGAGACCCTGTCTCAAAAAGACAAAAAAAAAAGATTTGTTTTGTGTTGGTACCTGTGGAGAACAGAAGAAGACATTGGATTTACTGGAGCTGGAGTTACAGGCAGTTCTGAGCCACCACACATGGGCGCTAGGAACCAAATGCTAGGTTTGTACAAGAGCAGTGTGTGCTTTTAACCACTGAGCTGTCTCTCTGGCCCGTTTTTTTTTTTTTTTTTTTTCTGTCTTTTTGAGACCCTGTAGCCCCAGCTGTCCTGGAACTCACTATGTAGACCAGGCTGGCCTTGAACTCACAGAGATCCACCTGCCTCTGCCTCCCGAGTAAGCCCTGTCCCTGAATCATACCTGCCTCGTTCCTTGTGCCTGAAGCTCCCGGCAGCCCTTGGCATGCCCCAGTCTGCTCCCTGGCAGTAGCTTTAGGTGGAAACTTCTTCAGCTGGCTGGAAGGGTCTGTAGTACACGTGTGTCTTCATGGATTACAGTGGACATGTGACGTTCCTCATTCTGGAAGCAACTCAGATGTCCATTGGCTGATGGGAGGGGTAAACATGACATGGGGTCTATCCATGTTATAGAATGTTCTGGGTCCTGACAGCAGTCATAAGGAATAAAGGGGGCTGGAGAGCTAGCTCAGCCAGTAAAGTGCTTGATAGCCTGAGTTTGGTCTCTAGACCCACATAGAAAGCTGGGCATGGTGGTGTGCACTCGTAATCATAGTGCTGGGGAGTCAGACAGGAGGGTCCTTGGGGCTCACTGGCCAGCCAGCCTAGCCTACTTGTGAGCTCCAGGTCAGTGAGAGACCCTGCCTCAAAAAAACCCAAGTTGGACAGGGCCTGAGGAACGACCCCTGTTATTATTCTCTGACCTCCACAGGCATGCATATGCACAGGCACCTGTGCAAACACACATACACACACACACACACACACACACGCTCACACACACACACACACGCTCACACACACTCACCACATGGCTAGCCCTGAGAACACATACTCTCAGAAGGCACTCAGTCAAGGGCACATGTGTCACTTGACATGATGTCACTCATGTGAAATGTCTAGAACAGGCAAATCCAGAGACAGAAGACAGATTAGTAGTTGTCGGGGACTGTGTGAGAAGGGTGTGTTTGTTTTTTGGGATGATGAGAATGTTCTGGAATTAGGTGGTGGTGATGGTTGCACAACTGTATCCTTTCCCACCAATGACATTTGTACAGACCTCAAACTGTCATGAACATTTAGATTTGGGAGAAAAAATAAAAATGCAGACCTTCTCTATAATATTGTCAACATTATTGACCAGTAGAAATTGGTCAGGTACAGAGGTCATTTTAGTGCCTGTGAAAGTTTACATATAATAAAACTAATTTCTAGTCATGTGTGGTAGTGCAGTCCTTTAATCCCAGCACCGGGAAGGCAGAGGCAGGCGGATCTTTGTGAGTTCAAGGCCAGCCTGGTCTACATGGTGAGTTCAAGGCCAGCTGGGGCTACAGGAAGACCCTACTGTCTCAAAAAGACCAATAAACAAACAACAACAAAAAAAAAAACAAAATAAAAAAATGTGATTTCTTGGTCCAAATCAGTGAAACCTTTTATTTTAAAAAATGAGACCAAGGCCGGGCGTAGTGGTGCACGCCTTTAATCCCAGCACTCGGGAGGCAGAGGCAGGCTGATCTCTGTGAGTTCAGGACCAGCCTGGTCTACATGGTGAGTTCCAGGACACCTGGGGCTACAGGGAGACCCTGTCTCAAAAAGACCAATATATATATATGTATATATATAATTTTTTTTTTAAGGAGTACATATGACGTGACATAACAAGCCTCATGGGCCCAACAGGAAGACATCCCAGACCACACCTTGGTGCAGCAGTGACTGCATCCTGAGCCCTGTCCCAGGCACCCCTGTCCCCCCTTGCCTGTTGTCTCCACAGGATGCTTTCCCCATTCCAAGTAGGACCTTAAAGGTGAGGGAAGAAGAGTTGGTGACAGTGAGACAGGGTCTAGTGTAGGCCAGACTGGCCTTGAGCTGCTGATCCTCTTGCCTCCTCCTCCCAGGTGGGTGTGCGGTTACAGGTATAGACCATACCTGTTTATGTGGTGCTGAGGATTAAACCCAGGGCCTTGTGCGTGCTAGGCAAGCACTCTTCTCACCAGCTCCAGCCCCAGGTGGTGAATTTCTGTCCATGATTTGAGCCTTGACCCTATGAATGTGCCAGCCAGGGAGGCCTGGGTTCATATCCCAGGACACCTCCAGCCACTTGTGTCACCTTGAAGTGACACTCAATTTCCACACCTCCACTTCCATCTTGAAACAGGCATTGGTGAGGAACAGCCGAGGCCTCTGCACACGCCTTCTGCCCTCTCACCCGGCACGTCTCCCTGGGGACGTGCTGCTGGGCAGCCTCACTGAACACGCACTGTCTTTGTTTTGGCTGCAGATGACGTCCGGCTGTTTGCCTTCGTGCGCTTCACCACAGGTGACGCCATGAGCAAGAGGTCCAAGTTCGCCCTCATCACGTGGATAGGTGAGGATGTCAGTGGGCTGCAGCGTGCCAAGACAGGAACAGACAAGACTCTGGTGAAGGAGGTGGTCCAGGTAGAGTGTTCTGTGTTCCTTCTGGGAGGCTGCATGCCACCAAGGGTCACCATCCAGCAGGGTCAGGGAGCGGGGTGGACTCCTGACTGGGCTTAGTTGTGACTTGGCACAGCTGTGTCTCTGGAGAAGTTACTAGCCTTGTTTCATGGTGCAGGTGAGGGTGCTGGGAGGTGGGTTAGGACTCTGCCACCTTGACTGTTATACCATAAAAACACAGTGGCTGGACATCCAGCTTATGGAGAAGGGGTTTCCAGGTAACCAAAGCAGTGGTCACTGCCTGTCCCATCGTGGACTGGTCCAGTGGTGGCCCTGGGGGTCCAGGGGAGAGCACATGCATGTGCGCTTGGCCTGTCACGGAGATACCACTCACACTTGCTGAATGTACATGTTGACCTCAAGAATGACAGTGGGGTGTGTTGCTACAGTTTGGTGACTGAAGACTGGCAGACGAGACGATGGTGCTGCCTGTCGGGATGTCTGTCCTATCCTTTCCTTGATATATTTCAGGGAAGGGAGGCGGTGCTGCCCCTCAGGCGCTCTGTCTGAGCCACAACCAGCTCGCCATAGACTTTTCTGCCCCCAAATCTTCCATTTTGGTTATTAAAGAAAGTAGATGTTGGGGGCTGCAGAGATAGCTCAGTGAATACACACTGGTTGCTCTCGCAGAGGACCTGGGTTCGATTCCCAGTGCCCACATGGCCCAGAAAGCCCCTGTCTCCAGAGGTTTTTTTTCTTTTTTTTTTCTTTCTGAGACCAGGCTAGCATCAAACTCACAGAGATCTGCCTGCCTCTGACCCCAGTGCTGGAATTAAAGGCGTGTCACCATGCCTGGCCACGCCTAGCTTTTTTTCCTTCTGTGAGTTACAGGGATCTGAGGTTGTAGTCTTACACTTTACGGACTGAGCTGTCTCGCCAGACCTACTTACTGGGTGTCTCCTGTAGAATGCCTTCTTAGGAGGGTGTCCAGAGTTGACAAATGTGACCATTAATTCTGTTGATTTTCGTGTGTGTGAGTGTGCGCACTCATGGTAGGGGGCATGTGTACCGCCGTGTGTGTGTGTGTGTGTGTGTGTGTGTGAAAACAACTGGGGAATAGCTCTCCCTCTACTTTTTTCTCTTTTACCATAATGTAGATACATTCATTAGATAACATCAACATTCTGGAAGCTGTTCTCACACCTAGATATCTTCAGATAGCAACACACAGAACTGACTTCAGAAGACAAACACAAACCCACTGAGACGGAGGTAAACAAATCCCAAGGATAACTTACTTTTTTCAACTTTAAAAAAATTTATCGAGAATTTCATACATGCATATAAGGTGTTTTGAACAAATCCACACCCACTCCCTCCCCTCCAACATCTCCCACAGCTCCCCATCACTTTTTTCTGACAATTTCGTGTTCTCTCTCTCTCTCTCTCTCTTTATCGAGAATTTCATACATGCGTATAAGGTGTTTTGAACAAATCCACACCCACTCCCTCCCTTCCAACATCTCCCACAGCTCCCCATCACTTTTTTGTGACAATTTCGTGTTCTCTCTCTCTCTCTCTCTCTCTCTCTCTCTCTCTCTCTCATTTTAAAAAAGAAAATTAATAGAGGTCACTAGCTCTCCCCACTGCAAAATCAATTTCTCTTGTCTGCCTCTTTCTCTCCGTCTCTCTGACAGGTCTCACTCTGTATCCCAATCTGGCTTGAACAGATAGTTGTTAGTTGCCATGTGGGTGCTGGGATTTGAACCTGGGTCTTCTGCAAGAAGAACCAGTGTTCTTAACCTCTGAGCCATCTCTCCAGCCCCTCTACCTCCTATTCTTATCACACCAACCTCTGAAGGAGTTACCCAAATTGCCGTTAGGGAATAGGGACACAGACTGCTCTGGCTTCTTCCATGCTGCACAGGGATACAGGGTGAGGCAATTGGAGTACCCCTTCAGTGGGTCTATGTGAAAGACTCCCAAATTGCATAACTCTTATCACCACGTCGGGGTAGGATCCAGGCGCTCTCAGGCGGTCCCCTGAGTTCTCAGCTCCTGTGCCAGAGGGAGGCCGGAACAGGCACTCTGGCGGTCTGATTTTTTATTTTTTGAGACAAAGTCTCACTCTGTAACCCTGGCTGGCCTAGAACTCACTGCACAGCCCACACTGGCCTCAAACTTGCAGTGCTTTCTCCTGCCTCTGCCTTTTGAGTATTGAAAATTGAGCCACCACTGGTGGATGCTCAGGTATCTGACCCAGGACCTTGAGCGTGCTTTGCAGGCCCTCTGTCACTGGCCACAGTCCCAGCAAGCCTCCAGAGGCACCAGGACAATGGGGTGGATGTGCAGTGAAAGAGGGCTCGGGACTAGGATTCTGTGGAGACAACCTTGGAGGTGGGAGAACTAGTACCCAGGAATTGATTCACAGGCTTAACATTAAAGCAAGGGGCCAACCTTCAGGCGAGGCTGGATCCAGGCTCAGGTGGGTTCTTCCGACCCAGTCCCGTTTCTCCCTGGGTTTGGTCAGCCACCCTCTGCCCAGCAGGAGGAATGGCCGTGGTGGTCCTTCGAGGTTGGGACCCCAGAAGAGTCCTGCTATCTCAGCAGTAGGCAGTCCCTTGGGAGAACCCCAACTGGCCAGCTTGGGGCAGGGAGGTGGGGTTTATGCTTGACAGCCACAACATGGTTCCAGCTCAAAGGTATGGTGGGAGCTGAGGAAGCACTGGGGCCACTCAGACTGAGCCGGGTGCCCAGTCCCCTATTTCGATCACTGTTGTTTGCATTTCCCACTTCTTGGCTTCTGTTCTCAGCACCCATGTAGCAGCTCCCATGTCCTCTTCTGAACTCCCTGATACATATACATACATATATACATGCAAGCAGAACACTGTACACATAAAATAAAAGATAAACGAATCTTTAAAAAGTGTTTATTTTCTGAAGCCAGGGGTTGTGGTGTTCATCCCTAGGACACTGAGGCAGGGGATCTGCTGAGGCCAGCCTTGGTAGCCAGCAGGTTCATGGAGGTGCGGCTGGGGTGTGATTTTTGTATTCAGAGCTGGGTCCTGTCCAAGGCTGGGGAAACCAGACAGAACTGGACAGATGTCCCCTCCCTCATCAGCCACAGACCAGCAGGCTGCAGCCGGCCAGGCTGTTCCAGTGGTACTGACCAGAGTCTGGAATGGCTGAGCGACAGCTCGTCTGGCCGCCTGACTGAGGCTGGGACTGCACGCTGCCCTATTGTTCTTTTGCCTCTAGGCTTGCGGGGACAGTGGTGTCCCCAGCAGGGGAGATTGCCGGGTGCCAGGCCAGGCCAGCTTGTGTCAGAGCCAGAGTTGGTCATATCAGGCAGATCAGGCCTGCTGCAAAAGGCAAAGTGCTCTAACTCACGTACTCTGTTATCTGTATTAATTTATTATTAAGTTTAAAAAGAGTGTGTATGTGAGCACGTGTGCGTGCATGTGTGTGTGTGTGTGTGTGTGTATGGTCTTTATCCTGCTGGACCTCCATAGACCTTGGCCTGGAGTTCCTACACATCTTGTCTCTGACTCTCACCTGCCTGAACATCCTTCCTCATTGAATGGGCTGTCAATCTAACCCCTGGGGTCAGGAAGGTAGTTGAGTAAGACAAGGACCCGATATATATGGACCCATGTATAGGGATCCCATTTACTTTTTTTTTTTTTTTTTTTTTTTTTTTTTTTTTGGGGCCCCATTGTAGTGGTCCCCTTTTTTTTTTTTTTTTTTTTTTTTTTTGTCCTTTTGAGACAGGGTCTCCCTGTAGCCTCAGCTGGCCTGGAACTTGCTATGTAGACCAGGCTGGACTTGAACTCAGAGATCCGCCTGCCTCTGCCTCCCAAGTGCTGGGACTAAGGGCAAGGACCATCACACCTGGCCCAATTTACTTTTTTTCTTTCTTGTTGAGACAGGGTCTTATGTAGCTCAAGCTGGTCTTGAACTCAGTGTGTAGCTAAGGATGACCCTCATCTCCTGAGTGCTGGATGTATAGGCGTGAGCCAGCATGCCTAGTTCATACCTGCTGGGGTGGACCTCAGGACTTCATGCATGCTAGGAAGCGCTCTACCAGCTAGCCACATCCCAGCCCCTGTTTACTTGCTAATTTTTTGTTGAATTACAGATACATTCTGGTACTTACTGACTAAACATCTTTGAGGCTGAGTATTGTCATTTTAAAAAATTGTTGAGATAGTCTTTGGGTAGAATTCCCAAAGTGTGGCTAGAAACAAGAAATGCTATGCATTTTTTTTTCCTACCCTTCCCTTCC